CAGTAAGAAAACATTTTCCATACCTGTTCTGACATGTTTATTTGGATCCTAGGATTTTTTCCTCAAGCGCCCTCTATTGGTTTGAAAGTGAACTTTTTTTTATGACTTTTTAAAAGTTTATGGTTTTTTTTTTATTATATCTCTATGGGTTTTTCCAAAGATAATAATAGAAGATAGTCCATAACTAAGAATATAAATTGCAAAAAGTCCGACTGGCTGGATTTTGTGTGCACGCAATGAAACGTTAAAAATAAAGTACTACCACGAGATAGGAAGCGCCCTATTAAAATTCGAATCTGAGCCATAGCTGATTCGAAAATGAAATCGAAATTCTTATTCTAAATGATCATAAATTTAGTTTATTGATGAATTTGAAAACATATGCTGCAATTTTGACTTTAATATTGTTTCTATTTTAAATAACGATTGTAGCGGAATCTTGTCCAATTGGTTAAAATAAAAAGAAACTCAATGAAAGAATCAACAATGCATTTTGGAAACAAGAAACTGAAAGAAAATCATCACTTTAGTTCGAAAATCAAAGAAACTGTTTTAGAGCTATACCGTACCTTTTAAACTTCCACGGTTTAATTCAAGTCTAATTTGAATGACGCTCTAATTCAATCATTACCTCTTGAAAAATGTTCAAAGTAGCATAGAGAAAATATCAATGCCAAGCTTGAGGTTGTGAGAAGGTATTAAGCATTTTCGTTTTGTGTGTAACAAATTAAAAACCATCAGATTTGATGATTTGAATAAATTACAAAATTGTTTAATTCTAATTCATTGTGTGAATGTCTGAATCAATTTCATTTCAAGTGATTTTTGTATCAAATTACAATTTACTTTGGCACATTTTTGGTTATTTTTCCCCCTCTGAAAAAACAAATGTAATGATATTACTCTTGCGTTCGATAAGTTTTTTAAAAATCGTATACACAAGTCGAGCATGGAAGAAATTCAGTCTCAATGGGGAAATAATTATTGTTAACTTCTCACATCTTTTCCCCTTCAAATTCTAGTAGACCTACTGTACGAAAATTTACAAAACAGCATTTAAAGGGTTTGTATTGTTCTTTCCTTACATTTTTGCAATTTATATTAAATGAATTGAAGAGTCAGGCCCGTGCGCAGGGGTCGGGGGTGTGATGGGTGTGTACGTACCCCTCCCCCACATACCCAAATTACCGAAGGTCTACATTTTCCGGGGTAGAAAATGCAAGGCAAACTCTCATCCGTTCTAAAAATCATCCACTAAAACGCCTTGACCAATCAGAACAGTTTCTTCTAATTGTCGGACAGGCAAGGACTTTTAACCGTATTTATAAGCTTTTTTAGTGTTTTTTTTTCTCCACTCGCATGTCATCAATCAAAATCGGTAGAGTGGTGGACACATTCGCTTCAAAACATCAACTAAGCGCTTAATTGCTTTTCCTACCCTGTTCCCAATCAGGTCAGTATAGGCTTATTTTATGAATTCTTGATGTTATATATTTTTTACGTCTACCCATATCATCCACGACGTATGGCTATAGACCTGTAATTTTGTTTGTTAATTATTCGCAATTTCCATCAATTCCGTCTATTTATCATATAGCATTTATATTTATGGTAAAAATTGTGTATTAATGCCCAATAATATTACGGGCTTTTTTTCATTGCGCTATAATTGATATGACCTACATTTTTTTTACGTTTAAATGTAATGCTGTATTTACATTGTGCTATGGTATAATTTTACGTACTAGCATTTAAAGTTTTAATAGTGTGTTGACATACAATGAAAATCCTAAACACCTCATGGTTTTAAATGGCATGTTACACACCTAGGCTTAGGCCTATTGTGTAGGCCTATGTCCAATATGAGGAGTGTATGCTATTCGACGTCGATTTATTTATGATTCTTAAATTTAATAATATTAATGAACGTTAACCTGTAGTTTAATTAATGACATTTCCACAAAGTTTTTAATTAGGTTGATTAATTTTGTATAGATATCAGTTTCCTTAACATGTGAAAGTTGGCTATATTCATCTTTAGGCCTATCAATTTTTGATAGACTACAGAAAACAAGATTTAGTGTAAGTGTACGATGAGATGATAAAAATACACCACACTAATTTATTATGTAGAACTGTACTATTTATTCCAAGTGAAAAGCGTATTTACAAAAACACTTGAGAAACAAGTTGATGATATATACAAATTGATAGAAAGCGAAAGTAATGTGTACTCAGGGAGGACAAACTAAGGAGTGTCTGTAAAAGTACAAATGTATGTGATATAGCATCACCTTTCATACCATCTGACCAATAAGGATTAGTAATTGCCTGGCCTTGTCTAGTACCTGGGAAACTCATCAACATTCCCAAATGATGTGTGGTCACTTGAATTAAAGGCAAATGACCTTAAGGTAAATTACCTTCCTAAGCTTGGTGTATAACACATGAAGTTGGGATATTAGTTAAAAAGGCAAGGTATTATTTACACACAGATCCTATATACAAATTTACAGATGGTAGTACTGCTACAAAGATAAAAACAGTGTTTGCACTCAAAACCATTGGCGAATTAAAGGGGAAAAAAAAAAAAAAAAAAAAATTTGTTCAAATTTAAAGTCTGTGAGGATTTCCGGCCATCTAGGGGTGCCATAATTATAAATGTTCCTACCATCAGCCCCAATAATTCATAATGAATAGGCCTAGTAATAGTTAGCAATTACGAGACTACTGTAGGTCCGAGATTTCACTACCGTGGTTTTCCTCGCNNNNAAAAAAAAAAAAAAAAAAAAAAAAAAAGCCGATGCTCATGTGATTGTGAGTTTCCTACCTGTCGTCAGGTCCTAGGCGGTCTGTGGGGGTAACGGCAAGCCTGCTCATGACTGACGCTCGCTGAAGGTGGACCTTTCTTGTCATTCGACCGTATTTCTACCCCTCCTGTTACTCCTAAATTTAAGAGTCATTTGGTCGGCTTTACCCACCAGAACCAGAAAATGATCAGCGACTGAGGTAGTATCGACCCTCCATAGGTGTGCGTCCCTGCTCCTGCCTACCCCTCAAAAAAAAGGAAAAAAAAGTTTAATACTATTTAGTTTAGTTTAAAATCTATTGACCTCAAAATATTAAAAGTGTCTGAGAGCGATGGGGCTCCGCCGCCCACTCGACCCCAAAAGGGTTCCCATGTCGGCCCCACCTATTTTGGTCCACTTTCCTTCCGAATCCCACTTACCCAATAAAATTCCAGCCTAGGACGGGCATGAGGTGGTGGGGCCAGGTTGGTTTTAAACATTTGTATGTCTTCTTTTTACTTACTCAATTGAGTTTTTTTTTTATTAGTAGCTTGATGTGTGATTGACTTTGCTTTTGCTTTTGACGCGCCGTTACGTATGCCACTGTCTAAAAGTTTCCAAATACAGTCAGGGGTTGTTCAATATTATTATTATTTTCACAAGTGTATAAACAGTACTCTTTTCCGGACCCCCTCCCTCCCCTTTAAAAGGTGTACAAAAAATGTAGATTTTGCAAAACCATCTAGCCCGGTTTTTTTTTTTTGTCAAGTCAACATGGAACAGTTATATCCATGGTTACATTATAATTTTACCATTATATTACATATTGCATGTTATTTTGAATTAACATTTTTATGCATATCTAAAAGTGTAAACATTTATCCCACTCCCTATGCGTACTGCCTGTAAACTTGTGAAATGTTGATAATAATGAGCGACCCCTTCTTTTCTTTTGAAGGACGCACTCTAGTTTGTGGTAACACTTTTTGAGAGAATAGGATTGCGTTTCAACGAAAACCCTCGAGAGTCGGACCTCTTGCAGTTCTATTCTATACATCTAAAATCGTCATTGATTGTACCAAGACTTTTTACTTTTAACTGTTGCTTCCTGCTTCCTGCAGCTTCAATCCCCTAGACCTATTTTAAATAGAAGTTTACTAGCCTAGTCGTTCTTACCTGTTTTTTCTGACCAAGATTAAAGGTGGTTGTCGATTTTTTTAGGTTGGTTTGTTTATCATTCAAACTTGAAATAGGCGGCTATCCTAGCCTAGGCCTAAACAGGCCAGGCAACATAAAATTAGGCACAAGTTTGACAAGTTTAAGTTAGACTAGGCCTAGCCTAGGCACAAATAGATTAGCGTGGGCCTAGGCCTAACCGCTATCTAGCCTAGGCCTAGCTAGCTATGGAAGGCCTAGGCAGGTTAAATAGAAAGAATCTACTAAAAGCTGAGGCGTTATAGACCCCGTGCTGGATTCAGGGTGGGGGAGGGGAGGGGGTGGCGAGCTGGCAAGGACCACCCCCCCGCCCAAATTTTTTAAAGAAAATGGAAAAAATAAACATACAGTACTATAATTATTATAACCAAAATCAAGTCAGAAATGGAATTTTTGGCTACGCTAACTTTTGATGAATGTTTTGCGTTTTTTTTTTAATGAATAGAATAATTACTCGTCAAGTAATCATTACAGCAAAATTTGGTAGATATTATAGTTGCTTAAAAGTAATATTAGGGCAGTCGAATGGAATGATATATCCTTAAATGCGTTTTTCTCAATGTTCTAACTCAAAAGCCGAATTTCTGCACTATGTTGCTTTCAGCGTCCATCACAGGGGGTGGCGCTAGTGGGGGGGGGAGTCCTTTGCTCCCTGGATCCCCCCAGGGAATTTCCAGCAAAGTCGTTGGGGAAAAACGAAATCTTGACCGCCGAAAGTACAATTTGGGTATGCCTGACTAAGCTGACAAATGTTAGGGATTAAAAACTGTTTAAGTGCGAGCAGTGCTATCTTATGTGTAAGGTGTATACTATCACAATCATATGGGTTGTGATGGTAGCGCTACATCTTCCCCGACACGGGGCTGGTACCTCCGACAAATGGTTAGCACCCCCAACAGACGATATCTTATCTTGCATGGTTTTCTATCAAATTATCCTTTTTAAATAAAGAATACCATAATCAACAAATTTTTCCCCAACCGGGGAGGGGGATGTGGCCCTTGTCGGGGAGCTTGGACCCCCTTGTTGGGGAGTGGACCACTCGTTGGGGAATTCCTGGCGCCGCCCCTGGTCCATCGGGCGACAGCCAAACTGCGGTAGTATTGTGTATCGAAGCTTTCACTTTCTTGGCCTAGCGCACACTCGCACTTGGCAGCATCCAAAGAGATAAGACAGAAATGATTTTGAAATTGAATAAAAATAGAAAAAATACAATTTCTTAGATTTTTATTTTTGTTGATCTAATCCTGGGCAAACAAATTTTCACAGTTCAGTGATTCTACAGATAGCTGTCTCAGGATTTCCCCGAAAGAGCGAAGTGGGTATGGTTGGGCGTCGAATAAATTGTTTTGAAATTAGTACCCCTACCCCTGGCGCCACCCCTGTGCTGGCTATTACATTTTATAATTCAGTGTATTTTAGTCAGTAGTTCTTCCCAAAATTCCCAATTCTATTTTGAATTTGTTTACTCCTCATATAGGTTGGTAATTTGCTAAACTGAATATTAAAATATGGAAGGTGACACATCAAGAGGTGAGTTGAACTTGAAGCAAAAATAATAAAAATTGAAAATGATTAAAATAAAACTTACAATAATCATTACACCTTCAGCACTCTTCCACATAAACCACTGTATGGTTCGAATCAGAAAGAAGCTCATCAAACATAATATAGTTGAAAAAAGGATATTATGATTTTCTTATATACTCATTATTTAGGGGCATTAAACAGTATTTGCCAACTGTAAAGTTGGAATTTTCAAAAGGTACTGGACTATATTACAGTTTTCCCTCCAATTTGGGACCTGAAAATGTACAGTGGTCTCGGGTTCGTAGCTTTATGTTAAAAGATTGAAGTTTGTTATTTTTTTTCTTTGAAAAGTGGTCTTGGAATTATAGGGATCTCAAATTGGAGGGTGCACTGTACTATACTTCTGTTGGTACTGACACAAAAACAAATTTCATGAACATGTCTATTTTATCTTTTAAAAACTCTTTAATATTTTTATTGTATATATTTGGAATGAAATGGATTTATTCGATGTAAACATCAAGGATAGCCCACGAAAGTCTAGAAGAAGACTTATTTCCAGTGGGGCCCTTCTGGTGGTGATTGAACAGTACACCGGGATACAATCCCCTACTCTTTTCCGAAGAGTGTACTGTGTTCTTTAACGTGTACATAGGCCATAAATGCACACGGGACCAACGGCTTAAACAATATGTATTTAACGTATAATAATACTACAGTACACCCTCCAGTTTGAGACCCCTCAAACTCCGGGACCCCTCTGATTCAAGACCACTTTTCCAAAGACCAAAATAACAATCTTCAACCTTTTAACACAAAGCGAGCACTCTAATTGGACCCCAAGGCCCGAGACCACCCCAAATTTTCAGATCCCATAGGTGTTCCCGAATTGGAGGGCGAACTGTAATTACTGTGTGACATGTGTAACAGATGGTAAATTGAAGGAAGCCTTTCATGTGTAATGTATCTGTAATGATTGTGATTCTTTTTTTGCTTTTTCTATTTGTGTTATTACAGTTATTGTTTTTGTGTGTATTGTTGTGCTGGTTTATATGTGAAATTTTAAGAGAGTATCATTGGCGAATAATAATAATGATAATAATAACAACAATAATAATAATAATAATAATAATAATAATAATAATATAATAATAATATTTATTTTAATGTTCTGTTGTGATTTTAAATATTTGTTTATTTAAATAAGGTTTTCTTAATGTATTAATTGCTCTTCTTATAAGCATTTTGTATCTAAATTGATTTTTCTTGTTATAATGATTTTATATTTTAATATTCAGTGCTGTGATTTTAAATTTTTGCCAGTTTTCAAATGCATTTCCTTCTTTTTGTTGGACAATAAATTATTTCAGTATTCAGTGTTATTAATATAATAATAAGTATCTCATCTGCATAAGTTTGCTTAAATTGTTTATTAATATTGATGATAGTTTGCTATCAACCACACATCACCATCAATCAAGTCAAGGTACATTGATATGCACACTGTTACAAGTATTTCCTAAGCAGGGATGAGATTTCTCCTCAGATTCAAGGATTTCCAAGTTTTTAAGGAAATTTTGACCCTCTCAATATTATTTCAAATCCGAGGATTTTTTTTTAGGGGGTGTCAGATATAGATTTAATGATCAAAATAATTAATTCTGGTTTTTTTTCCCCATGGTGTTCTGACTATTGGTGGCACTATTTAATGTTTATTGACACATCGACCGTCTTGTTTTTTGTATATTCATTAACTACTTGTAATGAATCCGACCACGGGTAAATAGCTTCACGAAATTTACAGAGGTACTTCCGGTGTATGGGACACACGCTTCTACTTTGTTATCAATACCATTCACCATTTTAAATCTGTTCTTTGACACCTTAATTGGTTATGGAATGCAAGGCTGAGCAACGAGTTGCTCTTGTAGAGCAGATCACAAAGTTAAAAAAAAACACGGCTAAAATCAAGTTTCTTTTAGAAACTCAAAAAAAGAATTACACGCTTGGTTCGTGTGTCGATTCTACCCCTTGGCCACAGCTCGATGGAGTTGGGCCCAGCCCTAGCGTGGCTTATTGGCAGCGCTGATGGTGCCCCATCCCCCCCCCTCCCAGACGTTAGATGCTGGCGCTGTTAAACCCTACAAGCCTCTCGTGACCCCGGCCAGGGACTTCCCATTTTTCCTCTTTTTTCACTTTTTTTTTTTACTTTTGTCTCATCCCTGCTGAGGATGTCAGTTGGCTAAAATTCATGCTACTTGTTGCCATCATTGACTGACTTTTCAGAGGTTGACTTTAAAAAGCCACAAGAATAGGGATTGTGGGAGGTAGAGAGATCATTTACTTTTTACTTTAAGTATTTTTTATATATATTTTTTTAAATATTGTATTAAATATCTACCATACACTTTGATGACAAACGGCTACCAAAAAAAAAGAGTACGAAATGCTTTTTGATGAAAATTCTCTAATTACATAAAATTGTATTTTATAAAAAATTTTATTGGCCATTACCTGCAAAAGAATAAGCCCTTGCAGAGATATATTATTTAAAAAAAGAATTTTTTTTAGGAATCTCTGAGGAAGATTTCGGAGAAATATTATCATATATGTCAGGATGGTTTGATCGCCATGGATACATCAATATGCTGAAAGTTTTGTACAGAGATCTGGTAACTGAACTTGATAAGATATATGCTGCCACCAATGCCATGGAATTGTTTGAATTACTACGTATCTCCGGACACCTGAGTCCCGCAGATCCAACAGTACTATACGATACTATCAGGGTAACTAAGCCGTTTGGCTTGGAACCAGAAATAAGAAAGTTGACAGAAAAAACAACTTTTGATATCAGGACAGTAGTCATATCAAAGATTACACCTAACAGACAAAGTCTGATCAAGTTTGTAGAAAGCCTCACTGACAATGATGTCAAGAAGATCTCAAAACTTTACTGTTGTGAACAAAACATCGACAAATGGGGATTAATTGTGGACTTGGAGCATAGAGGCAAGATTTTTGGAGAAAACGTGGATGACTTTATGAAACAGATAACAACACATCTCATTATTGATTCAAATAGTGATCCCCTGGGACTGAGGGGGACTGACAAAGGTAATATTCTATACAAGAAACTACCTAAAGAAAATCTACAGTTATTTATTATTTAATTTGAATCTTGTCAATAGCATTTTTATCTCCCTGTCATTATTGTTTTAGAATTTATATTGCAAAACAAGGTACAGTAATTGCATATTTTCGTTAGTCGTCATTTAGGTTTACGCCCTATGTATGTCTACTGGTAAGAATGCCATTTATGATGCCAAAATTATAGGCCCTTTTGTTCATGGAAAAAACTATAGCTGATGACATTACAACAATTTCTCAACATTTTAGTTTGTGATTGGTTAGACGGTTGGGTAGAGCAACGTCTCCCACCAAAACATGTCAATTTGTTATTTTTTATACCTTTTTGGTTTTTGGAAACTGAAATTTGCCAATTAATCAGTGATTTCAAAAACCTGTTGTTTGTATCATTTAGTCCTATTTTCAATTTGCTTTTTCAATTCAAGTGATTATCAAAATTACAAGGCTGGCAGTCCTCTTCCCCACTTCCTCTCCCACACCAGTATTTAATTGAATTTCCCTTGCTTACTTTATTAACAGATCAATTGCTTGTTGCCAGTGCTTTAAAGAAGGCAATGCAACTTTCTCCAGGATCTACAGGTAAAACATAACTTAAATACAAAATAGTCACACCAATTTGCAATGAATAGATTCATGTACAATAAATAATTTTTACGCTGTACTGCCTGTAAAGAAGGATTTCAGATATTCAGGCAAAAACATTTTCTTAAATTATCAGGATTATCTTTCTAGATACGGTTATCAATTCTTAAATTCACATTTCACATTTTTTTCAGATAATGTTTGTATAGTAAACAATATGGTTCAAGGCAATAATGGTAAAGTAACTGATATCCAACTTTAAATTGAATATACTGATAATTTAACTTTTTATAGAAATTATTTGTATTATTTTGATGGCATGGGGTCATAGTTTTGTAAGGGGTCTTGCATGTCTGGTGATACCCTTTAACCTGATCTAGATGATTTCTTTTTTAATAGTTTAAATGGTAAACGCAAAGTTTGCAATATCCAAATCTAGTAAGGAATCAATTACTAAAAATATTATTGTTGATGATGTTGATGTTGCTGTTGTTGTTGTTGTCTTCATAAATTATTCAAATACATATACACATACTACCTTTTTTGTTAGTTTACTTTAATTCAATGAGACAAGTTTGAACTTTTAGTTAAGATCATCCCTTGTAAAGGTCTGTTTTTGTCATCATTATAAGTACTACGGTACTTACTTACTTGACAGCATTATGCTTTTCTGCACTTACTGTCTGACTTGTGAGTAAGTTTCCAGATCTTCCTGCATGAATCCCGCTAAATGCTGTTTGATGATTATCAGACAAGACTTTTTTATACCTTGTTTTCCGAACTTTTAAAGATCTTCAGACTCGGAGGAGGGTGGGAAAAAATTATGTTTTCTTACTTAGCAAATGGTTTTGCCAAAAACATCTAAGATGGAGAAGAAAATAGAAATAAAATTTTATTAGTATTTGATATGTAGTAATGGGATGGTTTTATTTTTGATTTTTGGAGATTTCAAGACAGTGGTGGGCATAATAAAAATAAAGAAAATCTTTTTTTTAATTTCAATTTTTTGGTGGTAGCGGGTGCGCTAAATGACCAAAAACAACATTTTATTTTTATTTGAAATCATTATTGGCGGGCAGTGAGTTCAATAAACAAGGTATAAAAAAGTCTTGCCTAATATGTATTATAAGTCAATTGTGACGTCATCACTGCAACTCCCAGTGTTATTTGCCTATCCCCCACATTCCACTAATTTTCCAATTAGTGAACACTTGGCTTGATTTTTTTAGGTTCGTGTGCAAAAAAAAAAATTTCCTAATTTTTTCGTCATTGCGAAGATATCACGCACCGCGATAAAAATTGGATTGTAATTGAAAATTACTTTCGTAAAACAAGGTTAATTAGAACCCGAAGAAAGTTACTTTAAATTCAATATTGAGTATGAACAATTGAGCAGTTCCTTGAATCAATGAACCCTAATAAACTAAACAAATGACATTTAATGAACGTTTAATAGGAATATTCTAGACCTATTTTAAAGACTCCAGGAACAAAATTAGATGTAAGCCTAAGGCCAAGCAGCAGGCCGCCGAGGCCTCCTCCTACCAGCTACTTGCCTAGACTATATAGCCTAGCATAGTTATGAAATCATCCCAAGATTGTTACCTCTCTGCACCAACCAAAAAGTTAGTGACAGTGACTATATTCTTCCTCGAATGCTTTGAAAAATGTTTATTTCTTTGACGAATGTGAAAAATTAAAAACAAGTTCTTTTAACACAATACAAATTACAAAATAGCCTAATTATTCATCGTATCTGTACAGTACTGATGTGTAGTTAACGCAGAGGAGCACAAATCAGCACACGCACAAAATATAAATACGCACACAGTAACACTATAGCAACCGATGACTGGTACAACACAGTTGGTTATAAAAACAAACCTTAAAAGACGGCGATTGACTTATAAAGCAATTAGTAGAGCATGCATTGTATGCTAGCGGAAAATTATTATACTTAGGTTAAGATTTAATGCATTCAAAAATTTTTTCAAGCATTAAATCTAACCTTCGTATAATAATTTTCCTAAAGTGTACTATGCAGAGCTCTACTAATGGCCTATTACATTTTTAACATAATGTATTTTTTTTTATATGTAATGTATTTTCTTTTACTTTTTACCACAATGGAATTTAGAATTGTACATTACTATTGAAATTCATACAGAAATCAATTTATAAATTGCATACTTCTTTCAGGAATCGTTCTTGACTGTTTTGGCTCCCTGGTTTCTAAGCATCTACAGTATATGTAAATTTGGTCTGCTCTTTGCCGGAACAATAAATAAGATAAAGCTTTAATCTATTTTTTTTTCTTTGTTTAGATACTGTAATAGGAAATCAATTTGTTAACTGCAATATTAAAGACTCATCTATTATTGTTCAAAATACAATTCAGTTACCTGCTACACAAGGTATGCATTCTGCATATTATAAGCTTAAAATGGTGGTTCATTTTACTAACTATTATTAGGTAGCTACTTTAATCATATGAATTTTAAATGTGCTTGACATAAACTCAACAACCTGAATTTTTATTACCACTTTTTATAATAATAAGACATACATGATTTACAGTAGCTATGCAGATAATTATGTGGTCACCAAACAAGAATTATTATTATGAGGCTAATATTCCAAAATCAGTATCCATGGCCAAGGCAAAAATTTGAATTTTTGAATACTGTATTTCAATGTATTCTGCACATTTTAATGCTGATGATTCAGTAACATATTGCGACTGGACGCTCGCTTTGAGATTGCAAGCCTCATTATTAACTACAGTATTGTTGAAATTTCAAGTACTGTACTGAAAAACTGGCACTGGCAAAATTGTTGTGCGGTATTAAATTATGTATGTTCTACAATAGGGTGTTACAAAAGTTTACCTTCACTATAGATCCAAATTTAGATCTGTGACTTGATGGTTGTTAAGAGAGAATGAAATTTCACTCTACATAAGTCTATAAAGTCTATATTGTGACTGTAGGATAAATTGAAGTAAGGAAAATTTATCATTGTAGTAAAGGGCAGAACTTTTATTGGGACCACTATAAATTAATAGATTTTATACTCATTTGATTCCACCTAGTCTTTACTTTTTCACTGCTTTCTCCAGTTTATCAAACACGTGATTTACAGCAGCTATATGTTTTTAGTACTAATATTTTTTTATCATTTTTGTAATAATGAATACAAATACTAGGCTGGCCCTGTTCCTGAGATTGCCTCCAAACAATGCGGTGATGTGTGTGGTGTTTCTTTTTCTGATAGTTTTTAGGTTCCTGGTAATTTTTGGTTTCTTCCTTCTGTAGCACCTCAAGCACTACTGCAGTGGATATGTGTGCTTTACAAATCGTATTATTATTAATAATATTAATATTAATAATAATTTTGTTAAGGAATCCTTCCAGTTTATCTCAGAAGTTCGTCTGATATTAAGGACCCTCTCAAATAAATGAAATAATATGATGCTACAGTATATGCCATTTTACAAGGCTTAAATGTTGTTGATTCTACTGGTACTATGTTCTCTATTAAAGACAGATCTTGATATATCTGATTTTTCAGATTATGATATTAAAACTCATGTACTAAGGACTCAACAGCAATTGTGTCGTGATGCCACCCGGTTTACACCAGCAAATTGGAATACTTTGTACGAAGTAGACATTGCCCACATGTTCACCGATCTGGACCTACTCAAAAAAAATAAAAAGAAGCAGGATGTCCAACCAACAACGTTGAAGGAGGTTTTAAATATTATCAAATCCACACCTGCATGTAAAGTTCTAATAGAAGGTGAGGGCGGTATTGGCAAATCAACCCTCCTCAGGTACATAGCTTACAATTGGTCCACAGATGAATCAGATGAAACTTTTAAAGGTAAAATAGTCTTTCTTGTCAATATATCTTCTGTTGGCAAAGATGAAAGTATTTTGGATGCTATTGTAAAAGGAATAGACCTAGAGACTTGTCATCTTAAAGATTCTGTATTAATTCAAGAATTTATTATCAATTCCACAAATGACATTGTACTGTTATTGGATGGATTAGATGAATTGAAAGATGGCAGTGAAAGTCCAATAAGCTATTTCAAAAAGAGAAAAATGGGTAGCAGCAAAGTCATACTAACATCACGATCTGGAAAAATTGAGGAATTTATTAAAGCTAGCGACATACATGTGAAAGTGAAGGGATTCAGTAAAGATAACATAGAAAAATACATTAAAAAACACTTTGAATTCTTTAAAGAACCTGCATTAGGAGACTCTCTTATTAGGGAGTTACAGCCTAGTAGTATTTTCCTTATTAAACATCGAGAAGTAAATTCAATGTGTAAGAATCCAATGTTGCTTCTCTTAGTATGTACAATGTGGGAAGAATGTCAACAGTTTCCAGACAATAAATCAGATCTATTCAAAGAGATTTTTAGATGTATCTTAAATCAGTACATTGACGACAAACAAGAAACCTACAAAGAAAAAATATCTAGATATGAAGATATTCCAGAGAGTTTTATAAATGCTATGGTTTTGTTAGGGAAGTGTATGTATAAAAACCTAAAGATTAACCAACTCACAATAAACAAAAGAGCATTGGAAGGAAAAGAAATGGTTACCTTGGCTCTAAAACTAGGATTTGTATACAAAGATACACCAAACCTAAAATCTGATTTTGAAGAGATTTTTACAGCTCCTCACAAGTTAATAGTAGAGTCACTGGTAGGGTATTACTTATGCAAACTATGTCAGGCAACAGGGTTGGATAGTGAATGTCGAGCAAAGGACATGAAAATGTTACTTCAGCCGTTGGATGATAATGAATGGAAGATTATCAGAGAAAATAAACACTTAAACATTGCAAGAGAGTTTGCAATTGGATTTCTAGGTGCTGATGCTGGCATGTTTTTAAATCACTGGATAACAGATAATCTCTCAACATATCGCTCTCTTATGGCATATTTTGAATTTGTAAAAATAGATCACAGGAGTGCTGTTGAAGAGACATTAATAAATCATATGAGTAAGAATAATCTAGAAATAATGCCACATATAGATGACATATGTAAATCACTAAGAAAATTTATCCAGCACATCATCCCTGATGACATTCAAAATGAGCATTTCATCCACATTATGCAAAGATTGCATAATATAAGATTAGGGCCTTGCAGTAAAATTGATCTGAACACTCACATTAATTTTTTTTGTAAAGAAATGACATCTGAAGAAAAGGGCAGAATGATTGCCCACATATTGATTGCTGTGCCAGATCAAAATCAGATTTTGGAAAAAATAAGTGAAACATGTGTTGATGATGATATTAAATGCCTAACAGCTGAATGTCTTCAACTAAATTTCAAATATGATATATCATATTTAAATTTGTCTAACCCAAGTACTGCTTCATACATAGTTCATCTGTTTAGTAACACACCCCAACTTAAATATTTTCAATGCTCCTCAAATTGTATTACAGGTGCTATTATGAATGATATGATGAGAGAGTGCTGTAGTAGAGGAGTCAAGTTAGAATTCAAGGAGATTGACATCAGTGATAGTTATCTCAGAAACATTGATGGTTCTTTATTTGTATCATTATTGGGAGTTGCTTCTAATCTTCAATCTCTATCAATGAGTAATGACAGTTCATCATGTAAAGTCACTGGAGAGTCACTCTATGATAATTTTCTTGGGTATAACCATGAGCTTCGTTTCGATAGTAATTATCTACATGACCTTGAAATCAGTGGTAATACTCTAATCAAAATTAATGGCATCTCATTGGCAGCTTTATTAATTACTTCTAAATTGAAAAGCCTTACATTGAATAATTGCAGTTTGTCAGGTGCTATTATGAATGATATGATGAGAGAGTGTTGTAGTAAAGGAGTCAAGTTAGAATTAATGCAGCTTGATATCAGTGATAATAATATCAGCAATATTGATGGCTCTTTATTTGTATCATTATTGGGAGTTGCTTCTAATCTTCAATCTCTATCAATGAGTAATGACAGTTCATCATGTAAAGTCACTGGAGAGCCACGACATGATCATTTTCCTGGGTATAACCATGAGCTTCATTTCAATAGTAATCTACATAAACTTAAAATCAGTGGTAATACTCTAATCAAAATTAATGGCATCTCATTGGCAGCTTTATTAATTACTTCTAAATGGACAAGCCTTACATTGAATAATTGCAGTTTGTCAGGTGCTATTATGAATGATATGATGAGAGAGTGTTGTCGTAAAGGAGTCGAGTTAGAATTAAAGGAGATTGATATCAGTGATAATGATCTCAGCAACATTGATGGTTCATCATTAGCATCTTTTTTGGTTATTGCTCCTACACTGAGTAATCTGGAAATAAGTAATTGCAGTTTATCAGGTGTCATTGTGAATGATATGATGAGAGAGTGTTGTGGTAAAGGTGTCAAGTTAGAATTATTGCAGCTTAATATAATTGATAATGATCTCAGCAACATTGATGTCTCTTTATTTGTATCATTATTGGGAATTGCTTCTAAACTTCAATCTCTATTAATGAGTAATGACAGTTCATCATGTAAATTCACTATAGGGCCACGATATAATAGTTACCTCCGTTGTCGGTATAACCATGAGCTTCGTTTCAATAGTAATTATCTACATAAACTTGAAATCAGTGGTAATACTCTAATCAATATTAATGGCATCTCATTGGCAGCTTTATTAATTACTTCTAAATTGACAAGCCTTACATTGAATAATTGCAGTTTGTCAGGTGCTATTATGAATGATATGATGAAAGAGTGTTGTAGTAAAGGAGTCAAGTTAGAATTAATGCAGCTTAATATCAGTGATAATAATATCAGCAATATTGATGGCTCTTTATTTGTATCATTATTGGGAGTTGCTTCTAATCTTCAATCTCTATCAATGAGTAATGACAGTTCATCATGTAAAGTCACTATAGGGCCACCCTGTGTTCATTTTCCTGGGTATAACCATGAGCTTTGTTTCAATAGTAATTATCTACATGACCTTAAAATCAGTGGTAATACTCTAATCAAAATTAATGGCATCTCATTGGCAGCTTTATTAATTACTTCTAAATTGAAACGCTTTACATTAAATAATTGCAGTTTGTCAGGTGCTATTATGAATGATATGATGAGAGAGTGTAATAGTAAAGGAGTCAAGCTAGATTTAAAGAAGCTTGATATCAGTGATAATGATCTCAGCAATATTGATGGTTCATCATTAGCATCTTTTTTGGTTATTGCTCCTACACTGAGTAATCTGGAAATAAGTAATTGTAGTTTATCAGGTGTCATTGTGAATGATATGATGAGAGAGTGTTGTAGTATAGGAGTCAAGTTAGAATTAATGCAGCTTGATATCAGTGATAATGATCTCAGCAATATTGATGGTTCATCATTACCATCTTTTTTGGTTATTGCTTCTACACTGAGAAATCTGGAAATAAGTAATTGTAGTTTATCAGGTGTCATTGTGAATGATATGATGAGAGAGTGTTGTAGTAAAGGAGTCAAGTTAGAATTAATGCAGCTTGATATCAGTGATAATGATTTCAGTAATATTGATGGTTCATCATTAGCATCTTTTTTTGTTATTGCTCCTACACTGAGTAATCTCAACATGAGTAATTGCAGTTTATCAGGTGTCATTGTGAATGATATGATGAGAGAATGTTGTGGTAAAGGAATCAAGTTAGAATTATTGCAGCTTAATATAATTGATAATGATCTCAGCAACATTAATGGCTCTTTATTTGTATCATTATTGGGAGTTGCTTCTAATCTTCAATCTCTATCAATGAGTAATGACAGTTCATCATGTAAATTCACTATAGGGCCACGATATAATAGTTACCTCCGTCGTCGGTATAACCATGAGCTTCGTTTCAATAGTAATTATCTACATAAACTTGAAATCAGTGGTAATACTCTAATCAATATTAATGGCATCTCATTGGCAGCTTTATTAATTACTTCTAAATTGACAAGCCTTACATTGAATAATTGCAGTTTGTCAGGTGCTATTATGAATGATATGATGAGAGAGTGTTGTTGTAAAGGAGTCAAGTTAGAATTAAAAGAGATTGATATCAGTGATAATGATCTCAGCAACATTGATGGCTCTTTATTTGTATCATTATTGGGAATTACTTCTAATCTTCAATCTCTATCAATGAGTAATGACAGTTCATCATGTAAAGTCACTGGAGAGCCACGACATAATAATTTCCTCCGTCAGTATATCCATGAGCTTTGTTTCAATAGTAATTATCTACATAAAATTGAAATCAGTGGTAATACTCTAATCAATATTAATGGCATCTCATTGGCAGCTTTATTAATTACTTCTAAATTGACAAGCCTTACATTGAATAATTGCAGTTTATCAGGTGCTATTATGAATGATATGATGAGAGAGTGTTGTAGTAAAGGAGTCAAGTTAGAATTAATACAGCTTGATATCAGTGATAATGATCTCAGCAATATTGATGGTTCATCATTAGCATCTTTTTTGGTTATTGCTCCTACACTGAGTAATCTCAAAATGAGTAATTGCAGTTTATCAGGTGTCATTGTGAATGATATGATGAGAGAGTGTTGTAGCAAAGGAGTCAAGTTAGAATTAAAGGTGATTGATATCAGTGAAAATAATCTCAGTAACATTGATGGTTCATTATTTGCATCTTTACTCATTATTGCTCCTACACTGAGGAATCTTAATATTAATAATTGCTGTCTTCCAGGTACTGTTTTGAATATGATCAGAGAGAAAATACATAGATCACAAGCTAGAATTATAGAAAATTGATATCAGTGGTAATAATGTCAGCAGTAGCGAGTTTGAGTGGGGCCTAGCTGTCCTGGGCCCATTCTGCACGGACCTACCTAAATTTTTGAAAATTTAAAAGAAAAATGGAGAAAAAAGGAAATTATATTAAAAATGTAAGTCTGATAAACCCACTTACAGCTGGTGGCGCTGCTCAGTGTGGTCGACATCAATGTATTTAACAATGTGAAATCGTTTACTGTTTTCTGATGCACAGTTATAATTTCTCTATTTGATTGTCGAAGGTATTCTCGAGATGTTGCTAAAGTATACTATACTTAATTGTGATATTTATTGCACCATGGGCCTATAAAGAACCTGGAGAATGTACCAGGCTCTGTTACTCAGCCGAGGAACTGCTTTCTATTAGGGAAGCAACCCATGCATTGCAATATAAAGGCGCGACATTTGACGTGCCTAAGGAAATGAGGCTTAGGCCTGGTCTTAGGAAGAGAGAAAAAGCGTCCGGAGTTCGTAAATGTCTTCGTTCCAGACCTTTTCGACCTTCCCTACCTTCACTCATTATTAGAAATCTCCAATCAATTATTATTACTTGCAAATGAACTCCGAACATGTGTAAAATACCTCAATGATTTTAGATCCGCATGTATCCTCTCGTTTACCGAAACCTGGCTTAGTGGAAAGATATGCGACGCGCATATAGAGATTGACAGATTTAAGCTGTTTAGAGGTGACAGAACTGATGATGTTGGAAAAGATAGAGGTGGTGGACTGATCGTTTATGTCAATAATCGTTACTGTCAACCAAATAATGCTGTATTAAAGAAATTTGTTTGTACCCCAAACGTCAAAATTCTGGTTGTGTCACTGAGACTGTATTATACTCCGAGGGAATTTTCCCATATCATTATCTTGACTGTGTAAATACCGCACAAAAAACTAAAAAAGCGGCTCTTAAACTTGGTGAAATTCTAAGTGCGGTAGAAGTCTTCTGTCCGGATGCATGCATTATAGTAAATGGAGATTTCAACCATGGTACCTTAAAAGCAGTGTTCACTAATACCAGCATGTGTCCTGTTCTACTTGGGAAACAGCTACTTTGGATCCCTGCTATTCTAATGTAAGAAATGCGTATAAGTCAACTAGATTACCAAACGTGGGGGATTCCGATCATAATCTGGTATTATTAAGTCCAAAATATAAGCCCCTGGTTAAGCGACTGAAGCCTAGGAAGATAGTTGTGAAGTGTTGGACGCCAGAAAATATTGAACGGTTTGGAAAGGAATGCGACAGATGAGCGGCTACTAAAGTGTATCAAAGTCAAAGGATCGGTATGTGAATGTACTTAACACATTCTACAATAGGTTTGACAAGCATGATTTTACAGCCAAATAAAAGGAGATGAAGGTCACATTACTAAGGCTATGTTCACACACACGGCGTAAGGCTGGCTTAAGCCTGGCGTAGCATACGCCTTCGTGTGTGAGCTAGGCAGTGGCGGTGTTAAGACCGCTCACTACGCCACGTCTTTGGCGTTATTAACGCTACCTGCAGACCCCAGATTAGCTAACGCCACTGAGCTAACTCCAGTGATGCTTGAATGATTTGACCTCATTTCAAGAGATTGACCAGTCACGATTGCAATATATTAACTACTTTGGTCTCTTTCCTGTGCCCTCTATAAATGAAATGGTAAAGGGGTTCTTTTTCTATTGCATTTTACTTAGTTATAATGTATATGATTTGTTGATTGTGTTTTGTAAGATATTTTAACCTATTTCGACTGTCTATTAAAACCTGCAACACCAACAACTGTTCAATGCTAGCTGAAAAATCAGAAGTAAAATTGTTCATTTAAAATACAATAATCATATTAGTTCACTTCGAACAATTCACAGATTTAAAAGTTTTCATGATGCACTGTTAATTTTACTACAGTTAAGAACCCGTACCTTATTTAAAACTGAAAACTATTCGCCCTTTATAGGCCTATATTACTACTACTACCAGTCTTACGCCGTGTGTGTGAACATAGCATTAGCCTAACTGATAATAATAATATTACTGAACATGATTTGAAAACTGATGAAAATGAAGTTAGGAAATTTTTCTCCCATCAGAAAGCCTCAAAGGCACCTTATGTTACCCAAAATTCTTAAAACCTGTTCGCATCAGTTGCTGGCATATTTACTACTATTTTTAATCTGTGTTTTCAAGTAATTCCCTGCCTAATGTTTAGAAAAAATCTGTTATAGTCCCTATTCCGAAAAAGAGTAGTGTACAATGTATGAATGATTTATGACCAATAGCCTTGACGTCAGTTGTAATGAAAGTATGTGAGAGGATTTTCCTTAGTAAGATAAAACCATTTGTATCTCGATACCTTGATCCATTACAATTTGCATATAGAAGTTCTAGAAACACGGAAGATGCCATCATACTCAAACTTGAAAAAATATATGCCCATCTTGAAGGTGTTGCAAAATTTGGTCATTCTGTAAGAATTATATGCAGTATTATGACTTCAGCTCTGCGTTCAACACTATTCAGCCACATATTTTGATGAAGAAATTGATTGACATGGATCTTCCATGTTCATTTATTCTTTTTGTATTTTTTACTAATACTGGTGCATCACAGGGTACAGTGTTAGCTCCCTTCCTCTTTTCAGTATATACTGCCAATTACAGAACAACTGATCAAACTGAAACAGAAGAGATGGTGATTAACTTTCGTGTTACTAAAAGAGTTATGGCTAGGGAAATATTGATCAAGAATTCAAGGGTGGAGAGGGTTTCTAGCTACAAGTATCTGGGGGTTGTTTTT